GTTACTTGGGAGAAGAGACCAACACCCACCTTGCTACAACCTCCTTTCAGGTAGTTGTAGAGAGCGATGAGGTCTCCCCTCAGCCTCCTTTTCTCCAGGCTAAACAACCCCAGTTCCCTCAGCCGCTCCTCATAAGACTTGTGCCCCTTCACCAGCTTCATTGCCCTTCTTTGGACACGCTCCAGCACCTCAATTTTGATTTGGGTTTGGGTTTGTGGCTGTGAAGCAACTAAATTTGTACTTTATTTAAGCAGTAGATTTTTTAATTTTTATTTATTTGTTTTTAGCCGGAGCCACAACTCACCTGCATCCAGATTTCTGATGCATGTACTTTCAGGCTGTGCTACTGGAATGTATTAGAGCACAGACCTGTGCCCATGTGTTGGATGAGAGATGTACGATTGCTCTTGCCAGTAAAAACTGAGGCCTAAACCTGACTGCATTTCTCTGACTACCAGTGCCGGATCTACGTGTGACTCTGTGGTGCTGGGTGGTTCATGCATGGGAACACTTCAGCTTTGTTTTTTATAATCCTTTAAAAGTTAAGGTTTCAACCCTTGATTGTGCCACATAGAGGCAGGAGCCCAACTTGTTCTTCATTTAAACAAGGGTCACTTCAGGCCTGGGGGTAAAAGTCATCAGTTTGCAGGCAGAAACAGTTGCAGTCTGTTACCTCCTCACTAGTGTGCAGTGATCAAGATGACCAGTCATCCAAAGCTTAGTCATGTTCTTTAAACTACTCGTGTAGACTCCTCACTTTTAAAGCAGTAACATAGACGTCTCTACGGCACTTCATCCCACCTACCTTAGATATCTCTTTCAAGGTGGGATGAATCAGTCTATGGTGCTACCTTCCTCCCTCCATTTGCTATAGACAAGCCCTAAATCTATGTTTAGAGAGAACTCCTAGCTTTTACATGGCTAATGCTAGGGGAGGCACATCCACCACCCACCCATTGGGTGAGGAGCGTTGGAAAGACTGAGCAAAGACTCCTAGAAAACTAGGTATGTTGTGCTTCAAACATAAGAATTATGTGGGAGTGAAAGGGCTTGTAACAGAGAACAAATGTGCAGGAAAGATTTCTGCAGTGCCCCTTCTTGACCACTTACTGAAACCAATTAATAAGTTTTGAAAATGGGGATGACTGTAAGAAACTAAGTAAAATTCTCTCTCTTTCCTTGGTTATTTTGTTTGAAATGCTCTTAAAGGTCAGAAAAATCATTCAAACTGCTGGGCACCAAGAAAGCAGGGCATCGTTGTTTATTGACCATTTTGTCATATGTTTCTTTAGACTCAAATCCTTAAGGCACGAGAGGAGACAGTATTCATTGTCTTGTTCTTGCCTGCAGGGGATACTGTTTCTCCTGAGGATTCAGTTGAAATATTTCTGCGGATTTCTAAGAGGCCAGGTTTCACATCCACCCTCTTCTGTGTAATACGGAACGATAGTTTGCCCATGCCTAAGACAACTCATGCCAGAGCACTGCATGGCTGTGACACTGCAGCATCATACCAATGAGCAGCACTGAGCTACTGCCATACCCGGTGCAGTGCCATTAGCAAGGGGACAACTGGATTTCTTTCTCACTTCCAGAAGCCCATGGCTACAGCAGAACTGTATCTTAAACCTTCTCTATAGTGACTTGTGTTTGTAAGGATATGTAATCTAAGGATATGTAGCTTGACAAATGTTAGAGTGAGATCATTTACCACATAGGATTTGCCCAAGTTTGGCAGGTTGCATAGAAGTCATGCATAAAATAAATGTTAACATATTACTCAGGGAAAAAAGGAATTTCTTCTCAGGATTATCAGGGAAAGAAGGGAGAATCAGTGCTTCATTTTTTCTAGGCTCAACAGCCATTGCCTGAAGCTCTTGAAAAATCCTTACACCAAATACTTGCAGTCACTTCTGTATTAAGCTCCTGTATGCTGCCTATTATTTGGTCAGCTCATGGTTTCCTCTGTGAATAAGTATATGAATAAGGCCCAACAATGTGATGAAAGAAGCTCATATAAACTCCAAAGGTAATTTTTCATGAGAACAGGCAGAGAGAGCATATTTGTGCTCTGTGGGGTAAGAAGCATCTTACATGCTTACATTATGTGTAGCGCAACAGCGTTCTGCAGTGCCATTTGAGTGGTCTAAGGCCAGTACAATGGAAACAAATAAACCTGCGAGTATGTAAGTAAATATCCTTAAGCTTCAGATATGTGAGGGTTTCTGATGCTTAAAGCAGAGAAAAAAAAATGCAGGTGAAAATCTGCCATGATCTGTTTCCTTACCTGTGGGAGTGCCTTGAGATAGGGTTGAAGACTTCATGTAAGGGAGAATTTCTTTTGGAGATTCCCTTAGGTAGGCACACTGGTGCAAGCGGCAGGCAACAACAACATCCCCTTGGAAAGCAGCCTGGAGGGACACAGGCAGGACATGTTCCTCAGCAAAAAAACTTCTTTTCACTGTAGTCCTTCCTGCCCTGGAGTCATTCAGTGTGCTGGTCTGACCAGGCTACATGATAAATCTAGATTTATCTGAGAAGATCATGCTGAGAGAGGGGGAAATGACAGAAAGGAGGGTCAGGAAGATCATCCAGACCACATCATGTAGATCAGCCAGGTCATCCTTATGAAAAATTCATGTAGATAAAAGTACGCATTTACTGCTGCTCAGACTGTCCAGTTCTGAAATGGAAATTAGGATATCTATATAACTTGGCTTATTGCTCAGTCAGGTTTTGAACTGATATACCTGGCAAAAGGTAACTTTTTTACATTTTAAAAATGTTTCAGTAATCTCTTGTGAAATTGTACTTGGTAAAAACTGTTAAATAAAACATTTAGAGTTTCTGAGAAGGAGAGAGGTGGAAGTGAGAGTTTCCTTCATAGGAGGGTTGTTTTAATGACACACTTCAGCATTACTTAAAAAAAAAAAAAGAAAAAAAGTGTTCGCTAATACAATCCAAGGTGATTCCTGCCATTACAGTCTTATTTTTTAATGCCGTTGGATAACATGAAATGAAGGATACATAACCACTTTTCAAATTAAATTGTCAAATACATCTTATTTCTGTACTGAAAATGAACAACAAAGTAGAGAATAATGTGCAGGAGAAGAACAAACACTGAAATTGGACACTTAATTGGAGGTTCTTGGAGAGAGAATGATGAAAATTCTGTAACCCCGGCAAGTGAATAAATTAGGTGAACTTTTTTAGTAAGGAGAAGATTCTTCTGGCAGACTCCCAGTGAAGTCAAAGGGAATCATTCCTTTGTCCTGAATTGCAGGATCAGGCAAGAAGAGTAGTTCGTCATGCAGAAAAAGTTCCAGATGATTACTATGAGCAGGTCTGCAATAATTACAGAAATCACCTAATAAGCATTTAAGATGATTATGTTATCTTTCAAAAAGTCATCAGCCCAAAAAATGACATTAAAATTGTAGACAAGAGTGTGACAAACTGCCAGCAGAATCATATTTCTAACACTGCTGTACTCTGGCTCACTAAGCCCTAAGTGTCTTGGCCACTTTCACGATTCTCTCCTCCTTTTGGTTGTCATTTCTGTCATTTTCCCAGTTATTAGTATTTCCTGTTAAGAATTCTTAGATCTTACTTATTCCTTTACATCTTATTCTCTGTTGGCAATGGCTTTTCTAAAGACTCTGAGCTCATCAATTTTCCATCCACCTAACAGTGGTCATTTCAATATATATGTTATGTTTGTTCCTTATTAGCTCTTCTCCATATCACATGTTCCTTCTAGTCCCAAAATTCATCTTTTTTCAACGTTTTCAACATATTACATTATATGTAACATTGCATTATTCCAAAATGATTGGAACTCTGTCCTACAAGAATTTAGAAATGTTTTTATTTATGTAATTAATTCTCAGAGTTAAACAGAAGCACTCGGACGCGTAAAGTTAGTGCTGTGGGAATTTGTACATTCAGGACCTAAACAACATTGTATACATTTATTTGAGTATTATAGATTGTTAAGGTGCACTGCTGGGACTGAAATCAGAAGAACTTAGTCTGCACACTCGATTCTGAGAATGTGGGAATTTTCTTCTTTACAGTCCATAGTAACTCATTGCTCTAATTGAAGCTGCATTTGAAACATAGCAAGTAGTTATTAAAGTTTCAAAGATGATGCATTCTCAGGAAAAAAAAGGTTTGGTGAGAAGTTTTGTCAGTCAGGTTAAGAAAGAATTTAGCAAGTTTTGCTTCCTAAGGACTGGAAGTTTCAGTCACTAATAGCTAATGTATCTGTTTTCTGACAGTATTTATGGAGGTTACCACTGTGAAGTCAGCTCCGTCATACTGCGGCTGAAGTGATTTGTTTGAATTATTCACAGCAACAGCTGCATTAGCTTTACCTGATGAGTTCTTTGGGTCCAGAGTAATTTATGAAAGTTAAAATATAGCCTGTTCTTTCATACTGTAGCTGTTTGGAGTATTCCCTACACTATGCTAGAATACCAAAGCAAAAACAAAAGAAAGAACAACCCCAGC